ATTCACATTGTTGCATGTACATTCATGATAATCAACCTAATATTTCTGCCACAGTGGAAAAAATGGAGTCCTTGGTACGTAACAACCCCCTGCATAGTGATGGCTCTGGTACCATCGACTTATGGGGGGCTCTGTGGTCATGGCTACTTGTTGGCTCCTGGCTGAGGTCACTGATTCCTGTGATAATAACCATCATTGTATTGCTGGTGTTACTTTGTTGCTGTATTCAATGCCTCCCATCCCTGCTACAAGTGTGCAAAACCCTTCTTCCCTCTAATAGGGCAGACGCTCTGGCCATGGAAACCGAGGTCCGTCTGAACTTAGAGGAGGTCTCCGTTGATAATATAAAAAAAGAGGAGATGTGGGAATAATTGCAGAGAACTGCTCCCACAGGATGTGCCGTAGAGCACACGAAACAATGAAAGCACAGGGGATGTGGAAAACAGGATGAGTGACTCATAAAAAAGTAACGGCCACAGCCAGCTCTGGCCCTAAGTGATAACATTGTATGCTAATGAGTGTAATAAGAATAAAAGGGAGTTTCGGACTCTGTTCTGAGCTCTCATCCCGAGACATCTTGCCTGCGTGTCTTATTCCTCATGAGAAACCACCACAATGTATGTGTAATGTCTTTTGCATATCAAAGTAACATGCTGCATGTGTTTCTTTCTGAAGTCCCTTGATGTTATATCTTTGCATGTTTTTATTTATGTATGCACTGGGAAGCACAGGGTAGACTCCCTCTTGGAGTTATGACCAGGAGGGGAGGCTGAGAACAGAACAGTCAGTAACATTCTGAAGGATTGCCAATTGTCTTGGGAAAGGGTCAGTTCTTCTTCATTGGATGCATTTAAACAGCGGCTGGATGACCATCTGTCTAGGATGCTATGGAGTGGAGTTTTGTCCTAGACCATCTGTCTAGGATGCTGTGGAGTGGACATGAGGGTGAACTAAACCATTATAAAGTTCCCTTCCAGCCCTTTCATTCTGGAACTTGATGAAAGTTCCTTATTTATGAGAGTCTTCAGACAGCATAATGGCTTTTAAGAATAATCTTAAATCTCCACACCTCTTTGTTGTTAAATTTGTTTGGGGATATTGCATTGCTATCTTTTTTATTTAGTATAACTTTGAATTCATTCCAGATGGTAAAAAAAAGTTTTATTCTACTAATGAGGATTTAATTTGGTGTTTTTTCACCTTGAACTTTTCTTTACTAACTCTAATTACATCTGATTTCTTTAATTATAATTCTGGCATAATTATATAGTTTATGCTAATTTAAACTCCTTTCATCTTTTAGAAAATGAGACTGCAATTTCCAAGAGAATTGTATTGGTTCATTCAACAACCGGAAGCTAAAATAAGCTTTAAAGTACTCCTACCATTTTTGTAGTTGCTATTATGACTAATAATACTAACAAACTCAATATTTGTGTTGTATTATTTCTCTGTGTGCGCGTCTGCATTTGCATTTATTGTCATATTATTCAAAAATATATAATAGTAGAAACCTCTATAAGATTACACTTGTATTAAATTAGGTCTATTCCTAGCTAAGAAATTTAAAATTCGACTTTTAAACATATATAAAAACCTTACTATAAATGGAACAGAGACCTGAATTAACTTTCTTTTTTTTATTTATTAATTTAAAACATTTAAATATTTACCCATCTTTCATCTAATTCTGGATGGCTCCCAAGATAATAAATTAATTGATTCCTGTTTTTTGATTTGGTTATCCATTAGCATATACTGATTATAATCATTACATTATGCAAAATAAACTCACTCAAGGGCAAGGGTTAATTTATATTAGAAAAAAGAGAAAGTGCAGTTTCATTGAAACCAAACTACAGTGGAATCTCAATACTCATCCTTAATTGGCTCCAGGAGGTGCAATGAGCATTAAAAAGGATAGGTACCAAACAAACCTGTTTTAGATGATCTTTCTGTTATTTAGGGAAATAGCTTATATGGCCTTGGATACTAACTCCCTGTTCTAACCCTAACTGCAATATTTTCTATCAAAATGATAGAAAAAACGTAGTGCCATTGATTCGTGAACCTTTCATCAACTAGTATTTTCTTGAAGTCTGAATAAGGAATGAGTCATGGTACAATAAAATTAAGGTTAATATAAATTTTAAGAATCATTGTATTAGAAAGTTAGTATTGAGAAAATGGAACAGAACTCAGATTGTGCTCAAAAAAGCCTTTATGGGTTTCAGTACAAGAAGCATTTTAAAAGAAAGAAATATCAGGTAAAGAATGGTTAATGTATTGAGACCTGTTAGAACAAGATTATAAAGAATATAAGATGAAATAAAAACCATAACTGACTGCAGAGTGGTTTAGTTTTCAATGATTTTTGTATGCACAGTTAAGAAAAATATTTAAAATAGATAACAGGACATTTGGAATAGAGCAGCAAAAGACAGAATTTCAACTTGAACTACTGACAAATGAGGAACATGTAATTGTTAAAATAGATAAATCTTTACTGAAATTTGAATTGGAAGATTATGATAAAATGGGCTGAGAACTTTGGACACAACATACAGATGAAGCAGTGGGAAATATGTGGTTAAGAAGAATGAAATTTACATTATGTTAAAACTTAAAATATTTTTTTATAAAAGATGTACTGTTGGTATATGACTTCAAAAATGTGTAGAATGTATAAAGGTACTTCAAATTTATGTTTTAAATGTAGACAGTATGAAGAGTTATTTTATCATGACTGGTGGACTAATTTCTGGTTCAAATACATGCAAGGATTCCAAGAGTTTTAAAGATCAAATGAAACCAGAATTTTTCATATTGATTTAATGGACAGTCAATTAAAAAAGAATCATGGAAGATTATTTTTATATGACTGCTGCTGTGAGAAAGTTAAACATTTTATACAATATATCATACTATAACATGATACAATGTTATATTATATCATATCATATTATACTATACTATACCATATTATAATATTATTATTAATTTATTTTTACATACATGGTAAGATGAGAATTTAATGAGTTTTTATTATGCAGTAGATTTTGTAAAATGTAAGCCACCCAGAGTCACCTATGTATGAGTTGGGTGGCTATAAAATTTGTTTAATAAATAAATAATATATGCAACCTCCTTTCCATATGGATGTGAGTCTTGGACTCTATATCAAACTACTGAATACATTTTATATGTATGCTCTCTGTTCCATTCTTGGCATTGGCAGGTCCATGTCTGCATCCTGGAGGCCCTGGATTGTCAAAGTCCACCCACATCGAGTCCCTGTTAATCAGAATGCAGATGCAGTGGGTGGGACATGTCATCAGAATGGATGACCACTATATCCCTTACCAGTTGTTCCATGGTGTACAGGAGATTAGGAAGAGACCTTGAGGTTGTTCATGCAAAACTCTACAAAGATTCTGTGAAAGAAACTCTATGTACTATGACATCCGATTAAGGAAACCTGAAGCTGCAGCTGCTGACGGAACTTGCTAATGAGCCCTATGCCACAAAGGTTTCACCAGCTTTGAAGACATATACCACCAAAAGTGATAGAAAACTGTGACAGTGTCAGAGACTTACACCCACAGTTGTCTATGGAGATTCTCAATCATACAGCTGATGGTGATTCCAAAGATACTTTTCAAAAAGTAACTGGACTTTATTGTTTTTTTTCCTTGAAACCTTCTCATCCAAGAAGTTACCTTTTGGAAAGCACTTTTGCAACACCCA